TAGGCCAGCTCTAATAGTAATTTGGTATGGCTTCGCGGGCCAAATGTAATTAGGCTGCGGGCCAAATTTGGCCCGCGGGCCAGAGTTTGACACCTATGATATAAAGATTCATTTGTGACTCCATTAAGGTTACTGTAATGCATGCTATCAAACTTAGATACAGTCAAAGTGAACATAAGGAATTCAAGCAATCAGCAATTTGCATGTACCAACTAGATTTTTACAGTACCTCCGGCTATTTTCAACAACATTCTCTGTTTCTCCTTTCTTCGTTCCACCTCCTCCTCCCTCCTCTTTTGTCCTCTCCTGTTTACTGCTCTGTGAGCTGCCGCGTGCCTCTCCATCTGCGAATGATGTGTTTTCTGTAGCAGTGTTGACATGAGAAGACTGGCTTGTGGTTCCAGGAAGCGCACCTTTATGGGTATCTTCACCTGCACGCGATGCGTCAAGTGAAGATTTAGGATCTTGGACAGAGTCCCCCTGAGCTCCCCCTGTGTCATTGCTTTTAGATGAAATAGGTTTGGTGTCTGAGGAAAGGGGAGAAGATTTTAAGTCTCCAGGTGGGTTAAGAGTCTCTGCAGAGGCTTTTTGAAGTACAGACGATGAAGTCGGAGTGTCTGATTTCCGGTTGGCCTTTGCATCTGTCCTTTCATTCTGTGCTGCAGAGCCAGTGTCCTTTGACGCACGAGAACGAGGTGTGGAGGTGGTGGTGCTTTTTGTTGTGCATCCCGTCTTCTTTGGATGAGAGGACTTGGCTGAGGAGGACAGAAAATCAGACGTTTTTGTTTTTCTAGATGCTCTATTTCCTGAAGACATGCACAAAAACCTCCTAATAATATGCTTATACAAATTCTATGTTGTAAAAGACAAATATTTATGTGTTTTAAAGTAAAAATGTCATCAGTAATATATGTAATTAATAACATGTGTATGATAATGTGAGAATAATCCCAAAATATAAGCAATGTTTATATTCTGTTTAATGGCTGTTGGCTACTTAACCCAGGGAACTATTGCTAGTAGACTTACACCTTCTGTTCAAGTGAAACATTTTGATTGGCTGCATGGATAAAACTGAAGCGTATAAAACGCGACGTCTCACTTTTGTTCTCTATTTCAATCAAAGTAGTTTCACCTAAAGTATGATCGGCCTTGAATTTTATTTTTCAAATGTATCACGTTTTTTGTTTAGGCTGTGCAATGCCAGAAAACGTAACCAAGTGTATGCAGCACATATGGATTCCAATATTTACCAACTCTAAAACTTAAACATAATAGAGTAACTATCTAAACATACCTTCTCCATTAAAACTGTGACAAACACAGAATACCTAAGGATATACTGACTACTAAAGTATCTTTTCAAGTCTATGTGAAGTGTCTTTGTGTGCTGGTAAAAACACCCTTAGGAGAGGGGGTGAACTTAGGATTTCGAAGTCATTCAAACATTAATGAAGCAACGTTTGTGCCACTTTCCTGAACACACCACAAAAGACACAAATATCCTCTGAAAGGACTGCATGAACATCACATGCAGTGTTCTAAGTTTCGTTTAACCATGCTATATATTTGACAAGTGCAGCACAGACACACACACATACACACAGGAAGCAGGGGGATGATCATGCCCTGGCGTCATGCTAGTGAAACCACACAAGCTCGTCAGATTGCTCTCTCTCTTTCTTTTTAAAGTGGCGATGCTACACTGACCTCACTCACTTTTCTTGCTCAGCCCCTCTGACACACACACACACACACACACACTGCAGACATTTCTAGAGTTACACATATAAATCTTTACTTCTGCTTTCTTAGAAAACAGGCATATATCATAAATGAAATGCTTTTTATAAGGAAAGCACATCGTGAAGAGGGCGAAAAGGGGAAATACTATTTTGCAACCACTTGACAGAAACTTCAATAACATTTGCACGAGTGCGCACATAAAGCCATGCTTAGAAGGAACAAACTGCTTAATGGTGACTCCTATTTCACTTCCAACAGTGAGAGAAGGGCATTCTCCATGCGGGAATGAGGGAAGGGATGAACACTGACAGGCCAGCTGGTTTCGGTTCTAACTATCTGAACTTACCAGTCCCGCGACCAGTCGTGTTAGTGTTCCGTGGGGGGTTAGCTTTAGCTTGTGTGGACGACCCAGTCTTGACAGTGGTTTTAGTTGTCTTTTTAGCCCCAGAGGCACCATCCTTGTGCTTTGCCGTGGCTGCGGTGCCAGCGGCAGGTTTGGATGATGCGGGCGGAGTGGCGCTTGGCTGTTTTTTAGCTTGAGTCTCTCGAGGTCGCACCTGATTTGCCCGGGTGTTAGGTTTAGTATCAGACCTTTCTAAATAGATGAGAGGGAGTAGGAAGGAAAAGTGCAGCAGTTAAAGGTTAATATAAAGGCTGGAAGCAAGATAAAAGTTGCTGATCTGTGCAAACAGATGCACAAATAGAGAGGTGGACAAGCAGAGACAGAGGAGAAAATGAAGGATACAGAAAGTGTATGACAGAGCTGATGATGAAGGGCTCTTGTACAGCTTTTCCAGAGAACTGATAGATAATATGTACCCATTAACCTTCCCAGGCTCCAGGGTAGGCGATAGTATGTGTGTTCAGTTGCTGTACTTACAGAGTTTGTTGCCTTTGCCTTTCTGATTATTGACAAATGAACAAACAAATGGCTACAAGTTCAATGCTAACAGGGTTGAGTTGAAAACAGCACAACACTTAAGCAGCATCAGACACAAGAACAGTGGCCTGTCTCCTCAGGGAGAGAGAGGCATTAGGGGGAGAAGATACAGCTCTGTTCAAACTGTGAATGCCTATTGCAGGCTGATATAATGGGAATATCTATCTGAACACATTAGACCCGCTCATTGATCCCACAGCGAGTTCAATGTCAACCAGAAAGCTGCTGCAGATACTAATGCATTCCACAGCCCAGAGGAAAAGACATCAAAGCACCTAAAAAAAGCTACAATATTTAGATCCAGTATATAAAAATGGAACAGTTCAAGGGCCGAAAAAGCCCCACATTCCACAAAATGTGAGTTCTCTGTAGAAGAGTAAAGTTTTCTCAGCATTTAGCAGGTCTCTAGCGACAACCGTTTCTTGCTTTAATTTTCAAACAAATAACAACAATGCATCTATATATAATTCTTCAATATATGCAGGTGGAAGACTGTTACCCTGGGCTTGTAACTTCAACTAGTACAGCAATCTGACGGTTAGAGACTCCAACCAGCCCTGGATTACAGGCCAAAGTATGACAAAAGTTATATTGTGACTGGTCCAAAGGTTACCTGGTTTCTCCTCAGTTCTGACCGGCCCGGTGGCCTGTTCTTCCCGCAGTGTTTCTTGAGACTCAATGTCGACTTTGACTTTTTCTGGCGTCAAACTGGATGTGGCATGGCCGTTCAGATTTTCACTGATGACTGGTTCATCTAGAGGAGAAGAAATAAAAGCTGCTTTTTAGTCATTTTCTTCATCTCCTGATATGACACAAAAAACATGTGACAAAGTGAAAAGGCTTTGAAATGTAAAGAACAATAAAAAACATGTTAAGATGTGTCTTACAAGGTGAATTGCTTTGCTCTGTAATAAGTAAATGTCATAATTTGGGAAAGAAGAGGTGTTACATTCAATATGTTCTTGAGCATGGATTTGACTGAGACATAGGACAAACCTTGGTCTGGGATGAGAACTCCTTTCTTGATGAGCTCCTCCCTTGTTTGTCTAGTGGAGATTTTTCTCTCTAGAACTGAAAGACCAACAAGCTCAAGTTCAATATACTTATTCGAACACATCAACAACACAATGCCAAACCATATTTTACAGTTTGCAACTGCATGACGTTGAAATAAGAGACGGGGTGACGAACGGGCCTGCCTACAATCCAGACCTGTCACCCCATGTAAACATTTTGCACATTAAGAAAAGAAAAATGTGACAAAGGAGACCAAATAATGTTAAGCAAACGAAATCTTATATATAAACAACTGTGTGAATATATTTTATACTGTTTTCTAATAAATGTGGTGTTTAAATTACTTGTAAATCACCACAATCTGCTTTTACTGACATGGAAATGTGGTTGTGTACTGATCTCAGACCCTTCCCCCCCGAAAACTTTGACACCAATAAATAATCTAATTATAAAGAAAGAAGTTCTACTTCCCAGTTAGCACCTTATATATCCCCTACCGTTTTCTAAACTGTCCCGAGCGCTAGCATTGAAGGGACACAGAGGAACACAACTTTCATACAAACACAGGAAAAGCAAAAGATAAAACCTAGCAGCTTTCAGGAAAAAGAGTCTCTGGTTTTTGTATTTACCTCTGTCTCTCTTTATTTCTCAGCCAAACCCCTGAGGAATTAATCAGCAAGAACCACAAACAAACCATTCACTCTTTTCCTTTTAAAGCTCTTCTGGGAGCAACAGTGCTCCATTTCACGCATAATGTTCCACACAAATCCAAAAATGCAATCTGTGATATTGACCAGACACTTGATTGAGGAGAACAAATCAGAAGCGACTCATCAGCTTGTTGATACAGTGTCATTAACATACACATCCACACACGGACACACAAGACGTCCTACCTTTTGAAAGATCCTGGAACTTGTCGCTGGTCTTCTTCTTCCTCCACTTCCAGGGTTTGAAAAGTTTGCCCAGGGTTGACAGCTTGCCTCGCTGCTGCCGTGGTGCATGGGCATTCTGGGCATTGGCAGAGCTGTCCACCGCCACGTCGCAGCTGGCCAGAGATGTTGATTTCTCCAGTCCCTCAACTAGAAGACACGCAAGCAGAAATGCATGTAAATAGGAGAAAAGGAATATCAGCGTGCAACCCAGGCAGGGCCCTTCTATTTGCATATTATCCATAAGCCTTTGCAGCCTTTCTCTAGGAGAGCTGGTCTCTCCTACAACGGATATGCAAAGATCATCCTGCCATCTGGGCACAGGAGATTCTTATTCTCAAGACCAACACTTCCAATTTAAATAAAAATAATAATACTGGACCTTAATTTCAGTCAAACTAGTTTCTTTTAACTCCTTCATACTGCACAATACTGACAAGTATAGGCCATCTACGATGTACACATGTGTTATATGTTATAAAACAGATTTTTCTGCCTTTCTAATACTCCTTCTTCTTCTGTGATATACTGAACAGCCTGAATCCCACCCTTCAAATTACTCAACTGAAATGATCCGAGAAGGTGAAGGACCCTCTTTACTTGAAGTGCTCTCAAACATGTGCAATCATCTGACCCCCTTCCTTCAGGTCAAAGCAACATGATGCTCAAAATAGAGTCATAGCACTTAAGATTCATTTTTATTCCTGTAGCCATTTAAAGGACGACAGGAAAAATGGCTCTCTTAACATAATGGAAGCTTCCATAAACCACAGTGCACTTTATCTGGTTCTATAGTTTGCATTTTTTATGTGCAGGATTATAGCGGTGTTTATATTTTCGGTCTGTATTTACTGGAATTGTGTTTATATTTTAATAGTGTAGTGTTATTTAGTATTATACACATCTCTTTAACAAGTGATTACTGGTGTTTACTGCCGAAGGCTTGTTCCTGTCAGTTTCACGATAACGCCTGCCTATATTATCAGGAAACTAAAAGCTTTAAATGAAGACAGATCCACACACGTTTTTAAGACGGAGTCAGCAAGTGTTAAAAAAAGCTGAGAAATAGTCATATTTGTCGCGCTCTACAGGTCAGTCAGGGGCGAATATTTGTTTTTAACAGTATTTGCAGTGCGTGCGCTCGTGTGTGTGTCTTGGCGAGATCCCTGTCCTCCCACAGCTCCTCCTCTTCCTGCTGAAAGATTAGAAGCGCTGTGAAACTTCTGGGATAATGTCGACAGTGTGTGCAAGTGCGTGTGTGTGTGTGTGTGTGCAGGAAGCTTACAGAGGAAAGAGAGGTGGTGTGTGTGATTCCTCAGATTTAAGCAGAGGAAGGCTTTTGTTTTTGCAGCTACGTAACACTGCTGAATCACCGCTGACTCTATGGAGCCCAGCTAGCGGCAAAAGTGTATCATTTTTTCCGCAAAAAACCTTTGAGTAATTTATGTCTTTTTTCATATTGGCACTCCCGAAGAAAAGGTCAAGTTATTGCTGCTTGGAGGAAATGAAGTTCAGCGATGTGGAAGTATTTGAAGGAGCTGTGTGCTTTTAGCATAGAAGTGCTCTTAAATGACAGAACAGCCCCAAAACTAATACAGAAGAAAAGAATAAGTGTAATGTAAAGAACTTGTCCTCGTTGAGGCTTGAGATGTGCTACCATTCAAATACAAATTTTCAGGTTTATATTGTGCCATGCCTTTATCAACGCATGGCACAACATAGAAGAGCCGGCTCCACGGGACAAGACTCGGCCGTCCATCTGCATCTAAAGGGAAAAGGTCACTTTTTTGAGGATGTCAATGGTCACATTTTGGCCATCTGTGTCCACTGTGGACGACCATCTTTGAATAGAGGTGGTGGTTTATGACACCAACTGACTGCCATCTCAATCCAGTTCTGAGATCCCTTCCCAGATCCCTTGACGCCCATTCACATCCTGGGCCATTTGACCTCAGGAAATCACGTGATAGGGTGGGGTTAAGCTTCACGATGAGCTCACCCGAAACCTCGGCTGATTGTGACCTACACTCGTTTTCACACCTTGGCTCGTGTGATTAGGTCGAGGATCAATAGGGGGTCCATGACCATCTCAGGGACACTCCCACAGAGCTTAAATCTGGGACTCTCCACCAACTGACCCTAGAACTGAAAAACCTTCTCGGATGAGAGGTGAAACGTCTTCAAGCAACTTAAAGAAGTCCAGACACTTTTCTTTCCAGGCTCCTCAGACTACGATGACCTGGATGACTGAGAGCCTTCACAGACACTGTGCTAAACACTTTATTTTTATTGTATTAATATATTAAAATGCAGTCAGACTAAGTAATAATAGATGTTCGGAACATTAATCAGCCATATGCAGAAATTAAAAGTAATTACAAAACATCATACCGACAATTTGCATTACAAAAAAAAGCCTGGCTCAAGTTCAACTTCAGCTGATATGTCTTCAGCACAATACTTGGATGTTTTTCACATGAAGTCATGGTGGTTGTTTTCTCCAATTATGTGGACAGCTTCAATTAATTCTGAAAACATTTTTTAAACAAAGGAAAAAAAACCTTCAAAAGATGCAAGATTAAGTGCACGATCCAGGATCCTGGTTACACTAATCCATAACAATTTGTATTCTGATCGGCAAGGGGAAATATACTCATGAGCGCAACCTACATTTGTTGACGTGGCAGCAGCCTGATTTAGAAAACTAAAAAAAAATACAGAATCATCGCAAAACCTCAACAGCCGAAAGCCAGGGACTCTCATGTCACCTGCAAACTGAGATAAACGCAATTATTCAAGGGAGACGATTTAAGGGAATTCATCAATTCATTCTTTCAAGTGCATTCTTAGAGAACTCCTAAATTCGCAAATGCTAGCTACACATGGAGGCAATCATTATGACTGCTCAATAAAAATAATAATACTTTCCCACTTAGCTCATGTCACTCTAAATACCTGCTGACAAGAAAACAATAAAAGTTGGTTGAAAACAGAACAGTGCAGTGTCAGTACTGTTTAAGATGCTTATGCAGCCCCATTGTCAGCAAAATCTGCCAGATTTCCACCAGACCAAAGCTTAAAAAACACTCAGCTTAGCTGACCAGATGATCCAGATGTTCATTTTGGCAGTAAAGAAGTTAGGTAACCATTTCCCTAACAGCAACTAAAGTCACTCAGTCAAGCATTTCCTGGCTAAGCAGATCTAGTGGGTCAAATCCATTTCATAACCTTCAGTTCAATTGAAAACTATCAATACCCTGATGATTGGTTGGCTCTCACCAGCATTGACAGATAGCTGATTCGCACTCTGCACAGATGGACATGGGCTAAAACTGATGAGTATAAACTATCTCTGACTGCTGCTTACTGCTGATGAAGGATCAATGCATTCTTTATTCACACGCTGTGAGTAATTAAAGTCTACATAAGTGCACTTTTTTTTCTCCTAGTGTTGTTTATTTTCACACGTTGATGAGAAAGTCTCTCTTTTCCCTGCATTACTGAAGCTAACATATATGTGCATCGATCAAAATATTTGTTTGAACACTGTCAATTAAATATGATTAAACCAAATTCACACAGGTTTACAACTAACAAACTCTTAATATCTAACAAATAATATCGAATCTTCTTATTCTGTCTATAAATTTAAAGACAGTTTTGCAGGTTTTAAAGCATTTGGTGGTCTTCAGCAGATCTAAACTGAATAAAGTAGGATTATTATAACAAAAAACTGATGTGTCATTAGCCTAAAGTGTAAAATGAGGGTCAGATAGTAAGAAGTAATATAACTAGAGCAATATAACCATAACAAAGCACTCTGCTTTGTTGAGGAATGCTTGTAAAATCATAGTTTCATTATTGCTCCCAACAGTATTGTGATCACCTTTATCACATCGAGTGCTCAAGGACAAACATGTACATAAAAACAATGGCAGTAAAGAGTGAAGACATGGAAAAGTGCAGCACAGAACCCCCTACAACTCCCCTCAGACCAATGTAGCACCCTCTTTTTGCACACACACATACTTTGCATACACACACTCATTTCCTGTTCCTGTGTTGATATCAAATCACAACAATAGGTGCATTTCAGCAGCTACTCTGTACCGCTAACGATGGGAAAATCGGTAACAGCGATTATCATCACCATTAGGCCAACTATCAAACTTCCAGTGGGAACCAAACAGGGACAATGGATTGACTGACTACTTGCTGAGAAAAGAAAATGAAACGAAGAGGCAAAAGAAAACTCACTGCTTAGTTCAGAGAAGAAACAAAGCAAATCATCAAAAGAGATTCATCTGCTTCCCATTTTTTGGAACCAATTGTAATACAGTCTTTTCAAATTCCTGGTTTTACAGTTATGTAATTATCATAAGGAAAGGGGAGGATTTGAGATTCATGCTGTGTCATGTAGCAATACAGGAAATCTAAAGCCTGCATTGCTGTGACACATGCATGAGGTGCTTACACTTACACTGAATGTGTTCAACGGCAGAGATCTCACAAGTACAACAATACGTCATCTTTTCCAAGAAAATTACACCTACAGTTAATTTATTGTTCTCACCTCACTCTGCAGAAATTCCAATCATTCCGTCCCCCAAACAACTGACCAGAGGCTGATGCTTGGAGGCGGGCAACCGTTAAATAACTCTTGAGTTCCATCTTTATGTATACGACTATTATCGACATTTAAAGAAAAAAAAAAACTTGGCGATTTACTGTAGCTACATTGTAGTGGAACAGAAAATAGTGAATATACAGTCAATATTAGCTACTTTAACAATTTCTCCACAGTAATTGAACCTGCAGCTGCAGGGTTGTTGTTTGTTCTTTAGTGAGAGATTACATGATGGTTGATTATTTTATGTTTTCACTGGGATTCAAAATGTATAGGAACCAGTCCTAAGGGTGCACTGTTTCGGTTAGATGGCACTAACAAAAATACAGAGGTGGCGCTAGAGGTGGAGCTGGACTTGACGGTGTTGAAAATGCTAAGATTTTTACTGGGAGTGGCTAAGAGGGAAATGATTAGAAAGTATATCAGAGGGACAATCCAGCTTGAGCTGTTTGTAGACAAGATGGGCCTGACACGTGCAGGGAAGGGACACTGGACAAAGCCTGTTGAATATGGAGCTGCCATGCAGACAGAAAAGAGGAAAACCACAGAAGAGTCATGGGTGTAGTGAAGGAGGACATACAGCGTTAGTGTGACAGAAGAAGTTGCTCGCTTGTGTGCGAGATGGAAGCTGATAATCTGTCAGTGAGCTAATCTGGCAACTTCTAAATAAAACGGCTAAAAAAAGAGGACGATCTCATTTATCTGTACTTGTCTCATTTCAGCACAGATTGAGAATTTCTAGGTTTGTGAACACTGTGACGGCACCTTATGGGACTAGCGATGTATACTATACCAGCGGTCCCCAACCTTTTTTGCGCCACGGGCCGGTTTATGCCCGACAATATTTTCACAGACTGGCCTTTAAGGTGTCGCGGATAAATACAACAAAATAAAACTAGTACCGGTACCGAAAAAAAGAAGATTTATTCATAACAC